AGCTTAGGTCTCACTGACTATGTAGTCCTCTTGTTGTTTGTAATCGACTTGACCAGTTTCCTACTTTTGCCATTTGAATGGTGTCTCATTTACCATGTAAAAATATTATATTGATACGTTTTGGAGAGTGTGATCACTATTTATTTATTTATTTATTTATTATTTATTTATTGTCTTTTTGAGACAGGGTCTCCCTGTAGCCCCAGCTAGCCTGGAACTCACTATATAAACCATGCCTACTTCTGCCTCCCAAGTGCTGGGATTAAAGGCCAGTGCCATGCCACCACGCCCCTGTAGTCCCTCTTTTCAAGGGCATGAGAAGGATGGGATCATGCTTATGCTGCTGTTACTCAACAGCTTTTCAGAATGAGATCACAATGTACTCAACAAGTTTTCAATGCAGCAGTCCAAAAACTTTGAGTCTTTCTCTCCTTCCTTTTTCTGTTTCTCTTTCTCTCTGTCCCCTCTTCCTCCCTCCCTCCCTCCCTCCCTCCCTTTCCTTTTTGCCGGTAGTTGAATTAAACAAAGTTATTTAATGTTTTTTTTTTTTTTTAGCCTCATATTCTAGACCAGCACCAACAGATGCTGCTGAAAATACTCATCTAAATGAGTCAATTTTGATAAATGATGTGAAGTTGAAGAGATGTGGCCTGAGGGATAAATAAGAAGGTCTTTTCTGGCAGTTAGGGGGTGATATGAGGATGTATCAAAATCCTGAAGGAAGACCAAGCAAGTTTAAGATAATGGCTGCCAAGGAGAGTGCCTCAGAGGAAGTGGAAACCTTCAGGCTGTGGCTGACCCTGTGGGCAGGAGGAAGGGCTTCTCACTTATCTCTCACCATGGACATCTGAGGATCCCAGTTAGAAAACACAGAGATAGAGGAATGTTTTTGCCCTAACGTACTTCCTGTAATTTGTGCTGTTCATCACTGTGCTGAATCTGAGTGAATAAAAGCTAGTAACAAACTGTTCTCTCTTTGTTCCCAGAAGGTGGATTTTTCCTCCAACCAAATTTCTGAAATGTGTGACCTGTCGGCATACCACACTCTCACTCAATTAATTTTGGACAGTATCCTTTGAATGAATGAGTGTGTGTTGTGGGGTCAGCTGTGGTGAATGGCTCTGTTGAATAGTATTACAGACTATGCCAAATACAGCCACATAAATTCTCTTTGGGGACCTTTTTGAGACAGGGTCTCTCTGTAGTCCCAGCTGGCCTGGGCTCTCTATGTAGACCAGGCCGGCCTTGATCTCACAGAGATCCTCCTGCCTCTGCGTCATAACACCCAGCTCAGATAAGCAATTTACTAGAAATAAGAATCGGTAGTCATAAAATGAGAAAAGATATTTGTTTACCAAGGACTAAAACTATGAGCCAAAACTTGCCAGGTGCTTCTAACCTCCAAGAATTGAGGAAGGCAATCCTTGCCATAAATGTAAGCTTGTTCTTAGTTCTAGAAATAGGGAAGTTCTGTTAGTGAACATGTTCTTCAAATTTACTCAGACTTTTGCCCTATTTTATATAAATTCACTATTTAAAAGTCTAGCTTTATCATGAGGAATATTGGTAGTTATTCTATAAGAGAATTCATACTATTTCCTTTAAATAAAGCCAATATTTCTAGTTTGTTTTGATTGACTGATGGATTGATGAATTGATTGATTGATTGATTGATTGATGTTCGGGATCAAACCTCAGATTTCATATATGTTAGGTGAGTGCTCTGCCACTGAACTATACCTCCAGTGCTTTTATTTTATTTAAATCAGAAACCCAATTTTTGGTTTGCAGCCTCCTTTAGGAATATACGTTTCTCTTGCATGATTCAGGCACCCATGCAGAGACTTTAAAGTCTGCTCCAACTCCTGAGGTCTAAGGAGTTAATTGAGGATTTGTGACTTTAATGAGCTTGAGTCTCTTCTTTACACCAGAGACAGAGGTTCTCTGGGTAATAAGGGAGCAATGCCTTCTGTTTCTCAGTAAGTATCCTTCTACCCACTTGAGGATTTTTCAGGGCAGAATGGAGTGTGAATTGATGGCCCCTGAGTGTCTCATTCCGGGGATGTGGCAGGAGCTTGTTTGTAATAAGGCTGAGACTACAGACGGCAATCTTGGAGACATATTTTGCAGAGAAACCCTTTCTTCAGAGGTGTGGAGTGCTAGAACATAGCGACTTGTGGATGAAAGCAAACAGTGAGCACTTCGGTGCTCTTGAAATTTGCCAGTTCTCTTCTTTGTAGCCCAGTGGAGAGATCAAATAATGATTTAAATGAAATGTTTCCATGACAAATTAGCGGCACAAGTATTAGCTGTATCTATCTTCCTTTCTTTCTTTTTGCTAATATTGCACATTTTATTTATTTTTTCTTTTTAAGTTTGTTTTTATTGAAATTTTGTGTATTTCATGTAGAACATCTCAAACAATATTAATCATCTTTATACCCTGAGCCACACCGTCACTCTCCCATAGTCCCCCACTGGAAACCACATACTCTGTCATTTGTGCTAAGGCCCACTGTGTCAAGTCAGTGTCCCAAGACATTCCCCAGTGCTAGTCCATCCACTGAGGTCTAGTCAGCCCATCTAGAGTCCCTTGTTTTAGAAAGATCAGCTCTTCCTCACCTAACAGTAATTGGTTGCCAATATTTCTTCAGCTAAGATTGGGGTCTGCTGTTCTTTTCCCCAGTTCTATGCTGGGTTTTTGTCTGCCTGAGTTTTCACGGGACCTGTGTATGCTGACACCATTGCTATAGAGTTATATGAGTAGGGTCTCAGGAGCTTGTAGGACTCTGTTTCTATATGGTCATGCACCTCCTCCCTGGCTCTTACAATCTTTCTGTCCGTCTTCTGCAATGGTCCCTGAGTCCTGGGTGGGTAAAGTTTAATATAAGAGTCCTGTCCAAGGACCAGCATTCTGCAGACTCTTAATCTCTACACTTTGGCCATTTGTGACCTTTTGTGTTCCTGGCCCTCTGTTGCATGAGGGAGCTTCATTAGTGAGACTTGAGTGATTCATTAGTGTCGTCTTCTTAATCCCTGTTCTATGTTCCATGAGCCTTAGGTGTAGAGGTTGCATGTTGCATTGTAGATGTGTCACTTAGGCCTGGGAAATTCATAGACAGTGTCTGTGTGTGGCCAGTTGTGGTACTTGGTAATAGTCTCTGACTAGTGCAAAATAAGCTTCTTTGATGAGTGGTAACTGGGGTATGTGTCTGTAAATATAAGGATACATAATTTGCACATAGTAAGAAATTACATTAGTCTACGGATGTGACAGTCTTGGGATTTTCTCTAAGATCTATGACCACTCCAGCTATGTGTATTTGGTTATGTTTACAGTACCACACTTGAGTTCCCTCCCATTGAGTGGGCTTTTAGTCCAATTAGGTAGCTGTTGATTGCCTCCAAGATAAAAGTACCACTGCTGTACCAGTGTTGTTTGCTGTGCCGGTCATTGATGTGGTTATTTGGTCTTGAAGCTGGTATTGGACCATTGATTGATGTTTTCCCTTGGCACCTTCATAGTGATTTCCAAAGCTATGAGAGCTAGCCTTCAGGGGAAGTGGCTTCAGGTCAGTTCCATCCCTATTGCTCTGAATCCTGGGTCTGACGTATGTCCTGTCTTCAGACGTAGGGTCTTACCTTCAAGTTCTGGGAGGCAATCTAGGGCTGTGGCAATGGCCTGTGTAATTTTGGGAGTCTCTTGGACCATCCTGGCCAACAACTCAAAGGAAGGTGTCTCCTGTCTGGCACTGTTTCTTGTTATGTAGCCTTTAGCTATACACATGGACTCATGTAGAGATATATATGTGTCATTTGACATTAGGTTGTTGGACTAATATGATTCCTTCTGGTTTTTAAAAACTAGCTAGGCATTATTTATCTCTCTCTCCTCTCTCTTTCCCCATCTAACCCTTCCACCATGGTTTCCCCATTTAAAGTGTCCCCATTTTCCCCATTTCTCCCTTGGTAATACCAGTCTCCTACGGTCCCACCTCTCTTGAGCTCCTTCTTTCCTTTTATCCTGAAGTTTCCTTGTATAACCCTCCCTCCCCCTCCCATTTAAGTAGCCCCATTTTTATCCATTTCTCCCTCCATAACACCTGTCTCCTGTTCTTCTCTCTCAGGTTCTTTCTTTCCCTTTACCTCCCTGGTTATTTCATTATTCTGGCTCCTGCAGCTGGCTCCTTTTCATTACTCTGGCTACTGCAGTTGCATCTGGATACATACTTATAAGAATTTGGTGCTAGGATCCACATATGAGGGAGAACATATGTTGTTTGTTTTTCTGAGTCTGTATTTCTTCGCTTAGTCTTACAGTTTCTAATTCCATCCACTTACCTGTAAATTTCATGATTTTTGTCCTTCTTTACTGCTGAGTAGAATTCCATTGTGAAAACATTTTCATTATCCATTTGTCAGTTGAGGGACACTTAGGTTGCCTTCATCCCTTAGCAGGGAAGAAGACTGGTCTCTGGAATCAGCTGTCTATTTCTATAGAACCTTTGCTGCAGTCTTGACCAGCATGTATACTGAATTTTCAGAGAGAAAGAGTGGCAGCTCAGAAGCCAGCTGGCTTAGAAATCCACTCATCTCTGGCCAGGAGTGCTGCCCAGAGGGACTGGCAGTGTCAGCAGAGCAGAGCCTGGGGTGTCTTAGAAACAGATTTCTGGGCTCCACCTGTGATGTATTTGATTTTTTTTTTTTTTAAAGGCAGTGTCTCCCTGTGGACACAGCTGGCCTGGCACTCGCTATATAGATCAGGCTGGCTTCAATCTCACAGAGATATGCCTGCCTCTGCCTCCTAAGTGCTGGGATTAAAGGTACCACCACCCCCTGCCTGTTTGAACAAAGCATCTAGACAATTTGAGTGTGCATTAAGGCTAAGAAGTCCTGGCTTGGAAGTTGGGTATACCTAAGTTCCTGCCCGTCAGAAGGGACTCAGCATTCAGAGTCCCTTCCTGTGGTTCGGAATTCTCGGAGACAACAGTTTGAAGCTGGATAGGAGAATTTAATATGAGGCTGGGATTGCCAAAGAAACAAGTCTCCTGTTTGAACTCAGAACAAGGGGTACAGTTTAAAATTCTCTCATGAGGGTTTTAATTTCTATAAAATTTAGCTTTCCATGTGAAAAAGTAAAAGATTAGAGCTTGGTGAATGTCAAATACAGTGATATCCTAAAGAAAGGAATTAGAGTTTTTAATGTTGACATTGGATTTAGCAATCAAGTCTTATCACTGACAGATTAAAGCATAGTAATTATATCAAGATTAATTGAAATTCAGGAAAATTGCTGGAAAAAATGCAAAGATGAAGAGCTGAAACTACTCTCCTTCAGCTGTGATGAAATAAATGTAGACACCACACAGTTTTGGGAAGAGAGTCGGCTGGTTTCTAAGCAGTTCAAAATGCCCCTCTTTCTTTTGTGTCCTGCTCAAGCGCATCCTGTGCATGTTGGGGGCAGTGGAGTTTTATAAGCTTTTCTGGATATCTGAAAGAAAAAGAAAAATCTCATAAAATTATAAATTAATCCCCTTTGGGAAAATGTCACTAAAGTAGTTTTTAAAATTTTGTTTATTATTGTGTGTGTGTGTGTGTGTGTGTGTGTGTGTGTGTGTGTGTGTGTATGGACAGGTGCATGCCATAGCCCATAAGGAGGTCAGAGGACAATTCTGTGGGGTCAGTTCTCTCCTTCCACCTTTATATAGGTTCTGGGGATTGAACTAAGGTTGTCAGGCTTGTTTGGCAAGCATTTTACCCTCTGAGCCATCTCAACTGCTCCTAGATTATTTTTTTTTTAAAAGAATAAAATACAAGAGGATTTTTAGATAAGTTTTATGCTAGTACATCCAGAAACATTAAATGGATAGATTCCTAGAAAAATATTATATACCAAAATACTGATTTGGAAATAGAAACCTTAGTAGTCTTATAAAAGTAATTTGTTACAAATTAAAACAAACTAAATTAAAAGTTAAAAATCAGAGCTGGAAAGAGGGCTCAGTAGTTAAGAGCACTGGCTGCTCTTGCAGAGGACCCAGGTTCAGTTCCCAGTACCCACATGATGG